AGATTAGAAAGGGTAGCTTATGGAAAGAAGGAAATTATGATGTAAACTTAGAGAGAGAAAAATATAAATATATTTATAACCGCTATCGAGAAGATCGGAAGCCGCTTCTTCATAATCTTTTTCTATTTTCTTTTTTCACTACTTACTCTTTTTCTTTATCATCTTTATTTTCTTGTATGGTTTTCACTTGGAATCCATGTTGTTTTTCTGATAGGCTTTGCGTGTTGTGCTGGACATGAAGCTGTGGTGTTTCATCACCATGAGTCAGCATCAAGGAGGGCTGTAAAGTGTGTGGGGAGGCGGGAGGTGTGGGGGACTAAGAAGATCTACGTGCAAAACTCCCTGGCAGGACTTCCGCTCAATCGGGAAACTTGTTCAGACTGGATTAACTGGCGTCAACACATTCAAGGCATCCAGCTCTATCTTAAATTAGTGCCTCTCCCTAAGATCCTGTATCAGCCTGCTCCCCATCCATAGCCTTGATTTAATTTCCAGAGCCTGGGAGACTACAGGAGACTGGAGGAGGAGCCCTTAACAAATATTGGGCCTTGAGGGCATGTGGTTTCTTCTCTCCCTCCCCCCCCCCGTGCACGCTCATGCACACACGCACACACACCCAATTAACCTTTCTGTTTATAAACTGATCCATCAGCAAAGACCAGCACCTAGACCCAAGGCATGGAAGTTATCAATTGCTAATTAAAAGCCACTAATAGCCCTGCAGCTTGCTGAGTTAGGGCTTTTCACTCTCGTGGTTAGGGCTCTATTGCCTTAATTAGACTTCTTAAGCAATGACATCTTTTGGGTTACAACCCGTTATCTCCCCACCCTTTTTGGCTTAATCACCAAGGACAGGCTTTTTGCTGAGGGTAGCAAGAAAAAAAACTCCGCTGACGGCAGTTCGGCTTCTTGGGAAGCTGATGCGGTTTGCAAGCGGCACATTCAGCCACTGGATTCGCTGAACAGCCCGAGACGAGGCCTTCCTGCTGCCTTGCATGTCTCTTCGCATGTCCTGAAGGTCTCAGAAGACATCTCCTGGAAAGAAGGTGGCTTCTTCAGAGAATAGAGGCAGTTTTCCCTTTTTTCCTCAAGCCAGGTCCTTAAAGGACAAAAGAAACAAATTGTGTTTCCAGGAAACCCTGAATCACAAACCAGCAAACCACATTTTAGCTTAGTGTGTTGTGTGTATCCCAGTGCCATCCATTCACGATTCAAAAAATTAGGCTGAATAAACCTTGTGTAAATTGACCACGTGTAAGCAGGATATGCAAACACAGCCACAGTAGACCAATTACCAGCCTGGACCTTGGTCTTTAGTTGCTAATCCTTTGTTGAAAAAGTGAACATTCTCATCTGCTCCTTAAGGATCTTTTTCGACATTCTGTAGCTGACTGCAGAACCTTTCTCTTGTTGAAATCATAAAAAGTATGCCATGCGTGCATTTCTTACACAGCTCTCAGTATTTTTATATTAACCCTGCCTTTCTACTGAATGTACTCAAAGCCACTAACAAAGTCTGCCCCTTTCCAAATCAAAGATTTCACCTCAATTCTGTTTTCACGTTTGTCCCTTGGCCTCCAATTTAAAAACTCATATCCCGTCATATCCTTCAAGGAGAAGCTCTAAACAGCTCAAAATATTGATAGAACTGATGATTTCTGCAATGCAGCCCACATTTTTATCCTCCTAAGTCCAGTGTGGCCCCACCACAGGCAGAGAGAAGATAGTGGCGGAGAAAAGAGTGGGCCGAAAGGGCAGATGGCTAAGAGGTTGTGAAAATAGCATTATGTCCTCCCAATAGAGATCCGTTTTAATTCCAACTGGCCCATTGTTCACACCCAGAACTTGGACGTCTCTTCCAGTTGAAGACCGCCATGCAGAATCTCTTAGAGGCTATTAGGAAAGATCTAAGTAGGGAATGGTGTGGAGAAAATAGGGGAGAGCATAAGCCATCATTTTAATCATGGCAGGATATGGAGCGGTGGTTAGAGCTAGTTTTCCAGCCAGGCCAACTGGATGAGAGCAGAGGGCCAGATTCCTTTCTCCTTTCTCTGTGTAGCCTGGAATACTCTTCATCAAAACCACCATCTGTCTTGATACATCTTCTGGTTGCTAAGGTTCAAGGAATCAGCAGTTAGATATGGGGCCTGAAGTCTTCAGTTTCTCTATCTAATACAGGGTGGGGAGGTTCTGGCCTGGGAAACTAATCTGGCTGGCCTCTGATTACCTTGTTGGGGCAAGATGTCTCCCCAACAAGTCTTAATTATAAAGAAGCATAGTGAAGTAAAATATGTTATCACCTAAATCTCAGGATAGACTGCCCAATTCAGTTAACAGAAGACAACTGTCTAGGAACATGCAAAGTAATAATGCTTAAGACTGAGTGTACACAGGGCACCTTTCCTTTGTCGCTCAATGAATCATCATGTCCTTTTGGGATTAAAAATAATTTTTAACTTATTAAATAACTTAAATATACTTTTATAACCCATCTGTGTCTTCATATTAAGGGGATAGGACAGCTTAAGCATAACTATGCTTAAAAGCAGCATAGCAAAGGTTATTTCACTGGAGCTACACAACCATGTGGGACTGACAAAGATGAAAAAACTTACAGGCCAAAGATCTTCCAGCAAGTTTTCTGACATGACAGAAATTTGAACGTATACCCCCCTCGAGCTCAGTTTGTTAAAGTTATGCTATATTGTGGTGACTCACAAGAAAAGTCAACAAGCAACAGTTTCACTTCATTATTATTTTTGGTCAGGGTGAAATCCTCCCAAGAGGAATCAATAATTTCCTTAGCCTTCCACACAGCAAGAATGAGAAAAGCATTGCATCGTCTTTTCAAATGTGCAGCCCCAATCTCTCCAGATTTCTATTCTGACGACGGGGAAAAATTTAGCAGACTGTTCTGAAAAAAAAAAAAAAAACAAGAATGGAGGCATTTTGGTCTCAATGGTTAGCAAAAATATTTAAACTGGCAGGAACAAAGTACATAAACATTTCCCAAGCAACATTTGGTTGCCTTTCTGTTTCCACAGAGTTTCTATTTTTGTTCTATAAACTTTGCAATTTCACAGCAGAAGAGAGTATCGCATTCAGGAGGCATCTCTATCTCACCATTTAGGAAATGGCATCTGCGTTGTCATTTAAATCTTGCTTTATAGAATTAAGGCAGAGGTTGGACCTGATATGGTTCAATAACACTTTTACAAAGCTGCTTGACGTGGCTTTTATTGTGGCCTGCAATAAAGTTTCTCCTAGTTTGTGGGTTGGCAACCTGTAGTTTCGAGGCCACTAGAAGTGCAGGCCTTGTAGGTATAGGGTCCTCAACCCACTCTTTCCCTATGACCAGCTGGCTGGCAGGAAACAGAACTCTTTTCTCCCTGCTATGGTGGACGGGAAAGGAAAGGATGATGGAGAGGGGAGGATGCTGACAGATTAATTCAGGAGCATCTCCAGTCAGATCTGTGTGGCTTGCCTGGCCTGTAAATGCTACTCACTCACGGCCTGTTTGGTGGAAGCAGAAGGTTCAGAGGGGGAAATGGAACAGAGTCATCCTTGGTGGGATAATGTAGAGGAGGGAATAGGAACACCATGTTATCCCAGAATGAGGATTGTACTGCACCTCCAAATGACATGCCAGAGGTCACGTTCCACAAAAGATGTGAACAGGGCCAAGAAAAAATGAAATGTTGGATTGATATCATTTATAGTTACAGTGAATTAAAAATAAGTCTATTTGATGTAATTATTCTCCAGACATGTATTAGATTGACAGCAAACCCCATTCCATTCTAGCATGGAAGATGTTACCTAGCTGGGTAATGAAATGTTTGCAAGAAAACAACCAAGCTCAGAGAGGCCCAAGGACTCCACAGACATGTATGTCACATTTTTCCTCATTTCACATTCATCATAAAAGCTTGGTAGCAAATTTTGGAGGTGACCATACAAGGCTTTTATGCAGCAAACTCTTTAGTGAAAAATAGTCAGGGGAAAGATATAGTTTGAGTAGTATATCAATCTATCTGCATAAACATTAAATTAACAGTATCTTTAAAGATCTGTATTAAGACTGTACCATTTGGAAGAAATTTGTCCTGTCTGTTCACAGTAGGGTTTTTGATCAGTAGTAACTACAATAGTAATTTTTGCTTTAAAAATCAAACTCTTTTTTAAAGAAAACATGAGTTCTAGGTAAAGTAAAATTAAATTACACTATAGTACTTTATTTTTTCTGCTTTCCTAAGAGTCAGATAGGCCACTCTCAGAAAATCTTGCTACTTGCTAATTCCTACTTTTAGATAATTCACCCAGACAGGTCTCAGATGCTTGTCACGCTCGCCTTTGCTGTCTTAAGGACCAGAAAAAGACAACTGATAGTTTTCAGGATTCTGTCCCCAGCTTTAGTGTGCACACACTGGCTTCACAGAACATGAATTCTTCATGAAACATTAATGTTCTGAAATGATCTATATTCTTTTGAAATAGATGACCATTTCCATGAACGTGTCCATGTAGCTGTTTGGAATCAAGCCTGATTCAAGGAGGCCTTTATTTTTAACTCTGAGACTTGGGCTGATGTGGTGTGTCTGCCCCCTGTTGGACTTCTGGGGAAGAAACTGCCCAAAACAGTTTTAAGACAACTAACAAACAAATAAGAATTACCTGATTGAGTCATTCAACCAAGAATAGAAAAACTCACCAATGCAGTTAAGTTAAAAAGGAAGATTTTTATGATTGTTCACCGCCCAGAGTCACTTGTCTGAGATGGGCAGCCATAGAAATTGAATAAATAAATAAAGATCAGCCAAAAGGATTTGGTTCTTATGAGCACATGGGCCAGTTATACTGGCCAGGTTGTGCATCATGATTTAGTGCAGTGTTCCTCAACCTTGGCAACTTTAAGATGTGTGGACTTCAACTCCCAGTATTCCCCAGCCAGCTTTGCT